CCTGGGGGGGGGGCTGGGAGCTGCCGAGGGCAGGAGGGTGGCGGCGGTGTTCCTTGTCAGCAGGCTGGCCCCCGGAAAACACCCTCTCCTCCTGCTTCCAGCAGCTTCCCAGGGAAGCCAGAGTACCCCCAGCCACTCCCCGCCTCACAGCGCTGGGGGCTGCCTGGGCCCGGGCTGAATCCCACGCAGGCCTTCAGCGCGAAGGAAGGCAGGCCAGTGTTTTGTCCTGTTTGGTGCCCGAGCTTTGGTACTGCCTGCAAGTGCATACTAAGTCTCGAGGACTTGACAGTCTAAACGGTGTCACTGTGAAAAGCGGGACTGGCATCTAGAATCGAAAAAATTTTATTTGCAAGCCACAAGCTGGCATGTAAAAGTAGAAATTAGCTGAGCTGCATCTGCTGTAGGCCAAGGAAATAGAAGCAGGGGGAGGGGAGGGCTGGTGCATGCTCATACAAGTGCTGTTAAAACCCAGATAGACTGCCTGCGTCCAGCTGAGACTTGGAAAGCTTAGGTCCAGCAGCACTATATATAAATATATATATGTATATGTGTATATATGTATATACATATAGCTATTTTGTATGAAAAATAAGCATCCCAGTTCAAAAGCTCTGGAAGCAACCGATTCAAAAAGCTGATTGTTCCCCCCCAGCAATGACTGCACACTGCAGGAGGGTACTAGAGCTTGGGGCTATGTTGTTGGTGGGCATAGATCCAGACAAAGACTTTTGCAGAGCTAGGACTCAACGATTAAATGAGCTGTGAATGTTTAGTGTAGTAGTAGTAGTAGCTGAACTTAATGTACCGTTGAAATAGAAGTTTTCAGCAGTTGGATCTGAAGTCTAAATTTTACCCCCGTCCACACACCCATTACTTCATGCTCACAAGTAGCATTTTTCAGTACTATTAAGTCCTGCTTTTTGAGAGTATGAAATTGTGAGCACAGTAGTGAGAACGGGCAGCCATTTTCACACTCAGGTTGTTTCAGAAATGGAGGAACAGGGATGCATGAAATAAAGTTTTAATGAGCATGGCTACAAAATATTGGCATTTTGGCATTTCCATCCATAAAAGGGCAGCCTGCTGAGTGGGCAGGTTCAAGTTTGTGGCGATTCCTAGTTCTTAAGATAAAACATACCTCACCTCTTATTTTACTGACTCCTGAAGCAAACAGGAGCTGCTTTGCAGACCATCCTTCCCAAGGAAATGAGTATTTCTCTTACGTTTCTCTTATGTTCCACCAGTACGATGAAGAAAGTAAACATGACATCTTGGGGCACTATTGAGCAGTTAGCATGACATTAGCTCCAGGTAAAATCCTCAAAACCAGAAATAATTGAAGGATAATTTTGTGGCATGTAAATTGGCAGAGAAAATTGATAGTTTTGGGGGGGGGCTGGCTAATAGAATGAACTGCATAGAGGTAATGTGTTCTATTTTTCATCAGTGTCATGCAATAGTAAGTTGAATGGCTGTGTTTAACATTTCTATAGCACCAAGAAGCATATGTTAAAGTACTTATTGCCAAATAAGAAGCTTTTAACACAGATCTTTACTGACTCCATAAATTCCTAGTGACTTTCTACAGGAAACGATTCTACACCAGGAGCTATTCAACATTTTTATGTGTGTTCTGGAAATACACGTAAGATAGTGCTGATAAAACCTGCACCAACACAAATATTAGTAGAGTGATAAATAGCAGTGAAAACAGGGCAACGGTACAAGGTATTTAATAAATGAACTGCATTCAGACAAAATGCATTAAGAGTTTTAATGAGTTCGCATGGGGCTTTACTGTCTTAGTGAAGACAGTACTTGAATGGAGTCTCTGAAAGAGATTTAGATGCTGTTTCTCCATTGCAGCATGAACTTCTGTTATATTACTGGCAAAAAAACTCGTGTGACTCATGGCTACATAAAAAGGGGAATAATGGAAAGATACTTTGCCTGCAGAGGTTCATGAGACAAGTTATTGAGCCTGTATTTTAAAAGGTAGAGGTAATTGCAGGGACAGGATTAGAACGGACTTTGCAGATTTGCTGCCTGGCAGAAAAGGACCTGGGGGTGTTGGCTGACACCAGTGTGTGCTCAGGTGGCCAAGAGGGCCA